TTTTAAATTAATAAAACATGTAACATAAGATTTACCACCTTGACCATGTGTAAGTGTATAGTTCAGTGGTGTTAAATATATTCACATTCTTATGCAACCAATCTCTAGAACTTTTTTTATCTCGCAAAACTGAAACTCTGTATCACTTGAACAATAACTTCCCATTTCCTCCTACCCCCACCCCTTGGTAACCACCATTCTACTTTCTGTTTCTGTGAGTTTGACTACTTTAGATGCCTTGTATAAATAAGTAGAGTCATACAGTATTTGTCTTTCTGTGACTGGCTAATTTCATTTAGTAAAATGTCCTGAAGGTTCATCCATGTTATAACATGTGGCAGGGTTTCCTTATTTTTNCATTCCCTTTATCCATTCATCTGTCAGTGGCCATTTGAGTTACTTCTTTCTCTAGACTATTGTGAATAATGCTGCTGTGAACAAATTCTTTTGGATGTATATATGCCTATAAGTGGGATTGCTGAATCGTATGGTAATTCTTTTTATTTTATTTTATTTTTTTGTGGCTGGCTGGTACAGGGAGCCAGACCCTTGACCTTGGTGTTATAACACCGTGCTCTAACCAACTGAGCTAAACAGCCAGCCCTGTTTTTAATTTTTTGGGGAACTCTCATACTGTTTTCCATAGCAGCTGCATCATTTTACAGTCCCACCAGCAGTGCACAAGGGTTTCTATTTCTCCACATACTCACCAATGCTTTTTATTTTCTGTCTTTTGTTTTTGATAGTGGCTACCCTAATGATGTGAGATGATGTTTCATTGTGGTTTTGATTTGCATTTCTCTAAGGATTAGTGATATTGAGCACTNAGAGAAGTTTTTGTATAAAAATCACACATGCTATTAAGAGAGCCAGTCCAATTGCAATATTTTGGAGATTAAGGGCTACATCATAAGTACATAGCAACACTCTCTGAAATCCAGGTGTTTTAAATGTCTGCTTTGTTAAAACAGGAAACAGAACAGCTATTCTTGCTTATAGAAGTCTTCATACTGGGAAGGAGATTTATACTGATACTCTTGTGAACATTCTCAATCACGACTGTCAGAAATAACTATGAGCAGCATGGTGTCTCTGTGTTTGCAGCTGTAAAGAACATATTCCCCTTCTTTTCCTTCTAAGTATTCCCAAGGCTAAGCACTCGAATTTCATTAGCGAGCATCTAAAGAAAAAGCAGACCTAAGAAACTTAACATTTGTAATATCAGAAAAGAAAAGGGTAGAGCAGATATTTTAACAAATGGAATATGAGGCGTGTGATGTTTGGCT